GAGGCACAAGCCTGCCATCCCAGCAACTGGGAAGGCTGACACAGTAGGGTGGCAAGTTTGAGGCCAGCCTCAGCAACTTAGCAAGATTCTAACTAAAAAAAATAAATAAGTGAAGAAATAAAAGGGCTGATGATATAGCTTCTGGTTTTGTTTAGTTGATAGGAATAACTAGCAGAAGATAGGGGAGGGAGGAGAGAGAGAGATTGGGGTATTCCTCCTCTCAACCATCTGGCTAATGCAGTGACTTTTGCTACTATCCTCAGGGGAGCTTTTTGGAGTCCAGCTCTCTCCTGGCTCCTAAAATATAACATCCCCCTAGTCCCTTCAGTCCAACGGGTGATAGTCTGGGTACTTCAACACCCCTTGGTAATTTCCTTGTCCACAGCTCTGTAAATCTTTTCATTATCTTCAAAATCTGGCTGTCTTCTGTTTTCTGTCAGGACCAGACTCATAGGAGACCTGGATGCCATATGAAGGCCTTGTAAGCAATGGGAAACTGGGTGGGAATGAGGAGGAAAGATGAACAGATTTGAGAGAGGTGTAGGAGCTCAAATGGGCAGAATTTGGTATTAGAATTTGGAAGTAAGGCAAAGGGTAGGCATTCATTGAGGAGGGAAGTTTATAGAAACATTTTCCCCAAACATTTTATTATGGGAAAATGCAAACTAGTGGGGCTGGGGATGTGGCTCAAGCGGTAGTGCCGTCGCCTAGCATGCGTGCGGCCCAGGTTCGATCCTCAGCACCACATACAAACAAAGATGTTGTGTCCGCCGAAAACTAAAAAAAATAAATATTAAAATTCTCTCTCTTTCTAAAAAAAAAAAAAAAAATGCAAACTAGGAAGTCATTTGGGGGCATGTTGAATTAGGGAGTGCCTTGGAAGCATCCAACAGAAGACTGAGTCAGCTACTGGGTATTTAAGTTTGGAGCCTGGCGAGGGAGTGTAGGGTACAAAACACATTTCTGTTATCTGTGGTAACCAATGCTGTAGGCTTCCAAGTTTGCCCTCAGATTACTTCCTCAAGAAAGCTTTTCCTTCTACCTCTGTCTTGCTTTGGCAAACTAATTCATGTGCCCCTAGACTATAATAGAATAACACCATTTCCACAATTACAGTTATGACTATTTGTTTGATGTCTGTCTTCCCAAGAATAATTTAATCTTGTGACAGCAAGGACTTTACCTTGTTCAGTGCAGGATCCCCAATGCCTTGCACAACACCTTGCACATTGTAGAACTGTTTAAATCGTTTGTTAAGTAAATGAACCAACCATTGTTCGGACTGTTTTCTTGCATTGGGGCTAACAGCTACCTGAAATTCAGGTTGTCCAGGGCTAGTCCTGTGAACCTGATCTAGAAGATTAATCACTGTTATCTTGGGTGTTTAACTCTACTTGTCTATCATGTAGGTCACTCAGCACTTTGGACCAATGACTTTTGCAATGGGCTCATCTCCAAAGTGGGTAAGTCTCTGTTCATGTTTGACCAGGTTCTGATTTAGAGAAGACAACTCAAGTTTCAAGTACATGAAAATCTAAATTTATTGCCAGAATATAAGTTTCAAAAAGAGGCTGTGGAAAATGTCACATGTTGGAGGCCTGACTCAGTTCTGCTCAAAAAGATCTGACTATTCTCTTGCCTCTTTTTAAACCATTTGGTACTTTCTGGAGCTATTTCCAAACCAAAGGTTTTGGACCTTTTAAAATCATATACAAGTTTATAGGTTTTGTGATTTTTTTCCCTCAGAAAAATGCTAATGTGTACATTTCTGAAGCACATTTTTATGGAATATTATCAGAGGTGTTCAGGAGCTGCTCCAAGCATTTTAGATTAAGATTCCTCTTCTAATTCAAAACTGGCCACCCACACTGGAGTGTCCAGCTCCTTCTGTTGCACAGTCCTGGTGATCCTGGAAGTTGTTGGCTAAATAGAGATGATAGGTCTCTGCTTGAACAGCATCAAGGAGAGGGGAGCAAGGAGCATAGTGAAAATGGAATTGAGCCATGATCTTTGCATTTTTCCACTGAAGCTTTAAATGTATCTTCAGTCTTCACTTTAATCAAAATAGCTTAACTTAGGAAAGAAAGAACCCACTTCTTTTTCTTTATAAAATCCTTATTTTATTGCTTCCTGAATGTTTTTCTTTTTAAAGGAGAACTACACACCATCTGTTCCAAGGATCTCAGTTTGACAGCTTAACTGGGGTCATGCTAGGATTCAGCTATTGCCAGGCAAAATAGGAAGGCCAATGGGATGGTCTGACAAGGGTCTGTTGACAGCAAGGATCAATAGAGTCCTTGGAATGATCTCATAAGGAAGAAACCATTTGGTACAGTGTGCCAGGTTTGTGTTAAGTGTGAAATTTAATACAGCACATGTCAGTCACTTGTTGCCCTGCAGTCCCCGTGGACTTGTGCCTGACTCAAGAAGTTTCAAAAAGAGGCTGTGGATAATGTAATAATAATGATTAAAATGTTAAAACTTTTATTAAAACATCTGTACAGCATACAGCAGCTGCTGATGGCTGTTTATTGTGAACACCTATGACTTCGTGCCTGAGAGCCATTTTTCTGGAGCAAAAGGATCAGGTTCAGGGGAATAAAAAAATGCAGAAAGTTAATGCCCCTAGAAGCAGCCCTTAGTCAATGATGGATGAAGAGTGTTCTTATTCCTCAAATTGGGATGACTCTGAGATGTCTTGTGTGCTGTATCCCAGAGTTCCCTACAGTATTGGAATCCAGGGGTAATAGCTGAACAACACACCCTTTGTGACTTTCTTCCTATCTTTTAACCTTGCTCTTCCTCATCCCTCTTCACTGCTCTTGGTAGTGCCTCCAAAATAAGCCATTTGCACTTGAATCCCTGTTCCAGGACATTTTATGGAGTAAATCCCATACCTAGACTGGCATTAAGCATACATACAAGGCAATGAAGTTTTACCCAGATGAACCTGGATTCAAATTCTTTCTTACCAGTGACACTTAGCAAATTAATTTCTCTAAGTTTGTTTCTTCATCCATAAAACAGGGGTAATGGCCCTGACTTCATAAGGTTTGATTGTCAAAAAAGTTTTGAGAAGGTATGTAAAGCATTGCATACAGTGGCTCAATAAATACTGGCTGTTATCATTAATATAACATTTATCATATTGTTAAAATGGTAAACCCCAGTGGAGGACAAAGCTGTTTTCTAGTCTTGGAGTGACTGCTGAAGCAGGTTGGTTTGGTGCATGTGCTGTGGAGGCTGTTTCTGGCAAGCACCTATGAATGAGCAACATCAATAGCTTATAAGAAATGTTGCCACAGTGAGGAAAATGGTACATATCAAGTGTTGGCTTAGAGGAGCCATTGGCAGTGCAACGGTGGTTTTGCCGATTGAGCTTAGTTGCAACTGATGGCTACAGAGCTATCGATAAATTCATAGCTATGTCCAATATGCATCTGATGGCTGGAATTTCATTAGCCTTACTCTTGAGGGAATATGCTCAGGGCTACACAGATTGAGTTCCTGATTTCAATCTGCTTTCCAAAATAGACAAAGGACCTTTTTGCTTCTGTTATGATTATTAACTTAATATGGCTATTTTAGAAACTTCCAGATTAGAGATTCCCCACCTTTGCTCCCATCCCTTCCAACTCCTGGACAAGATTGTGTTTTAATGCCTTGGTCACAGTGAAAGAGAAACTGAGACACACCAAGAAACTGAAGGAGATTATTGGATTTTAGTCATCCTCTAAATCAGTGAATTATAGTGCCAGATTTCACGTGCAAAACGTCCCCCTTTCAAACAGCCCTAGGTCCCAGAGTGTGTAGAAATCATGGGCCACATTGGCTAGAAAGTCAGGTAGCAGGCAGGATTTCTTGTTGCCTACCTTTTGCAGGTGCAGCCCAATGACTCAGGGGGAAGAATTTGTTTCAGCCCCTTTGTTTCATTCTAGGTAGAAATCAAGGCCCATATAACTTCCCATCACATTCTCCTTTCATCATAGACACTCGCAGACAAATTTCTCTCCAGTTTATATACAGAGATATATGCCTACAAGCTAATGTAATTTTTGAGCAATAACTTTAAAAATATTTTTAACTATAGATGGACACAATATCTTTATTTTACTTACTTATTATTTTATTTACTTATTTTTATGCACTGCTGAGGATTGAACTTCAGTGCTTCCAATGTGCTAAAGCCCCAGCCCTGAGTAACAGCTTTTAAAAGGAAATAGTATTACAAGTAGAAAGGACCTACTCAGACCTTGGTATGCCTGGTGTTAAGAACAATAATCACAATTCATCTCCTCTACTTCCTTCAAGAAAGAAAACCCTTTAAGATCTAGTCAGGAGGTCTTGTACTCATGCAGGGGATTTCTCCTAGAAGGTCCCATTACATGTGTAATGTTCCAGAAAAATCAGCTGATACTGATACTTTAATACTGACAACTGGAACATTCTTGTAGTATGTCTCAGGGCCACTTACATTAAAATGATTTATGTTCATGTCTTAGTGTTAGGTCGTGAGCTCCTTGAGGGCAGAAATCAGATATGATTTATTTGTATATACCCAGCAGAGATCCCGGCTAGGGTTGCCAAGTTTAGCAAAACCAACCAACCACTAAAAAAATCATCATTTATTAGAAATTCAAATTCAACTGGGAATCCTGTATTTATCTGAAAACCTATTCCTGGCGCATGGCTAGCTCAATAAACAATGATGAATAAGTGAATGAGTGAATGACTAGCACAGGACCAGTAAATGTTGCAATAAACTGGTAAAAATGATTGACCATGTAAAATATTCTCATCTAAATTCCATCTAGCAATCACAAAACAACAGAACCATGTCTGGTTAGCATTCTGCCTTTCAAAATCTAAGCCTGGCTTTGACTAGAAATGTGCTTTCTATCCATACATCATCAGCCATTTTTATTCAGTGCCCATGTGGGAAGAATACTAATCTGATACCATGTCTTGTTCTGACAGTTTTACATCTTCATTCCACACAATTCTGATTTCATACGTTTGCCTAATTGTTTATTTGTGTGTACCAGTTGCACAAGAAAATTGACTTTGGATGGTGTATGGGGTTAAGCCATTGCGAAGTACAATCATCTCTGTATCTTCCTTTAAAATTGCCCAAACTGTGTTTTTATTCCAGCCGAACCCTGGGATTTTGGGTAAAGTCATTCACCTTGATTAAACCATCAGGACCAATTCTGTTTGGAAAAATAGATATCTGTGGTTAGTTTGTTTAACAAACAATCTTTAAAAAGATAACCTAGAAACAACTCTCTCACTCCAATAGTTCTGCTTCTGCTCTGGGTCCATCACCCCTTTTTCTCTTAACTCTTGACTGCCCCTTCTCTTCTTCTGCCTCCTCCTCCTCTGGTCAAGCCTGAGCAGCAGCATCAGAGGCACCTGAGGGATTGCTAAGACACATATTCCTGGGTTGCATCCCTAGAGTTTATGATTCAGGAGGCCCAGGGTGCAGCCTGGAATTCTGCATGTCTAACATGTTCCCAGGTGCTACTGCCTCTGCTGCTGGTTTCAAGCTCTCCAAGAATCATTGTCCCTATACCATTCTTTTCTTTCCCCTTCCTTGTTTCTTTCAGATCTATATTTCACATTTCTCACAATATTTCTATGTTCTCCAATAGGTTTTCAGATAAATAGAGCATTATACTGTTTGGAGAACATCATCAGATGCTCCTTGACCTCTGATGGAGTTACATTCTGATAAACCCATAAGTTGAAAATATCACAAGTTGAGAATGCATTTCAATACACCTGACCTACTGAACATTATAACCCAGCAGCACAGTACACTGTGGAATATCAGTTGCTTCCCTTCAGGATCACAAACTGAATGGGAGATGGGGCTAGCTGCTGCCACCGCCTGCATCATGAGGGAGCATTGAACGATATATTGCCAGCCCAAGAAAAGATCAAAATTTAAAAATTGAAGTTTAGTTTCTACTGAATGGGTGATGCTTTCTTACCATCATAAAATTTAAAAAAAAAAAAAAATCATATGTCAAGCCATGGTAAGCCAGGGACCATCTGTAGGGACCACTATAACTTGGCCTATTAGATTTTTAGGTTTTTTCCCCCCAGTATTCTTACTGGGAAAAGTTTACTTACACTTCCTGTTCAATGTAGTTTAGCATTCTGCTGACATGGGATGCAGAGATTTCTCCATCCACTTCAGCAATATATGTGTAGAGAAACTGGAAGGTGCTGAAAGGGATCCGTGGAGGTCCACCATCATGGTCACTGGACAAAACTTCACATACTATCTTAAGAGTTTTGGCAATGGTCTATAAGATACATGGAGAAAGTCACTCTTCTAGACTAGAGTTCTGAGATCAGTTTAGGTATAAGAGAGAAAACAAAAATATTGCTCTTATAAAATGAAGTTGACTATGATTTAAGATTCTAGAAAGTTTAGCATTTTTACCTTCAAATGGCACTTAATTCATTCTAAAAACATTGATTATTGAAGGGGTATCTTTTTTCTTTCCTTTCTTTGTTAGAGGGCTATTCTTAAGAAATTAAATTTATAAACTGCTAGAAACTCATAAGTTATTTGTGACTTTAATCAGCCAATTCCTTATTTAAGATGGGGGTCATTGATTTCACAGGCTATAAAATTAGAATTAGTTCTTATTATTTCTTTTTTTTTTTTTAGTTCTTATTATTTCTTTCCAGTCTTATTTCTAAAGGGTTGAGGTAATTTTTCCAGCTTGTTATAGTCTAATGAATTATTTGAGGAATGTCAAAGTCGGGAAGAAAAATGTAAGAAAAGGGCAATATTCCTTGGAACACAGGAGTTCTAGATGCTAGGAAAATAGGACTGAGCATCAAGATAAAACCATTCTTCTAAACATGCAGATACATCTAAGCAGAATCATCTATATTGCATAATACTAACCCTGGTGCTGCGGAGGGGGGAAATGAGCAGATGATGTGCCAGTTTTAATAGAAGGTTTGCTACCAAAGCAATCACACCTTACAATGAAACTTGAACATTAAGGGATCATATTCAGAACTGATCCTACGTCTTTAAATAAATGTAGCCTTTGCATAAATTTCACAAGTAAGAGAGTTGTGAAGTGATGGGGCAAAGGAAAGGAGTGATTCAAAGAAAAGACTGTTGAGCTCTGAATTAGCAGAGATAGGTCAGCATATATATCTTGGTGGTTTACTAAAAGAGATGGTGCACAGATGCCTTACACAATCTCCAGGGAGCAGTGAAAAATCAGCCCTGCGTGGTGAACTAGGGGTGAACAAATAGCCGCCATCTCTCCCATGTGCATGGCCAGTGGAGAATTGCTCTTTCTTGCAGTTGATGCTCATGGTTCTACTCCTACCCTTTGCCTGAACATAACAAATGTCTAGATGGCACTCCTTTTGCTGTGGTGTGTATTACCCAGGGTGTAAGTCTGTATGTCATACAGCATGCAAAGATGTGGAAGAAAATCAGCCTATCCTCCTGGAGTGACAGTTTTCCTTGAAGGCAGTGAATTCAAATGTTATTTGCATTAACTAATTATTAATTTTAATTGAGTCAATATTTAAATTTCATTTCTTTCCATTTAACAAGCATTGTTATTTTATGAAATAGAATCACTGTGCAATGATTTAAAAATAAAAATGATGCCAAAGAAATTTGGGGTTTGCAACAGCTGTGGCTCTGGAGGTGAAGCACAGGATGAGGCATCATTCCAGGGATTTCCACCTAAGAGAGGGGAGAGGAGGGTGGACATACATGAGGTTATCAGTGAGGATGGGACCCCATGACTGTGAGATGAGGTTAGCATGACAATGGTTTGGGGTACATTTGCAAGTATCAATGTATGTAAATTAAACTGAACTTTTTCCTTTTTCTTTTTCTTTCTTTCTTTCTTTTTTTTTTTTTTTTTGGTACTGGGGATGGAACTCCATCCCCAGTGCTCAACCACTGAGCTACATCCTCAGCCCTTTCTATTTTTTAATTTTTATTTTAAGACAAAGTCTTACACTAAGTTGCTGAGAGTCTCACTAAACTGCAGAGTCTGGCCTCAAATTTGCAATCTTCTTGCCTCAGCCTCCTGAGTCGCTGGAATTATAGATATGTGTCACCACACCCAGTCCTGAACTACATAATTTTTATCCACAGCTCATTCTTTTGACTTCTCTCTGCACCCCTATTTTCTTTTGTTCTGTCATCCTCTTCGTTGGGGTGCTGTTATGGGCTGAACTGTACCCTTCCCACTCACATGTTGAAACCATAAGCCTCAGAACCTGAAAATGTAATTATATTCCAACAAAGAACTTTTTAAAAAAGAAGTTAAAATGAAGTCCTTGGGGTGGGTCCCCAATTAAATATGATTAGTGTGTTTATGAGAAGAGGGAATTAGGACAAAAGTAAGACTCTAGACATGTGGAGTCAGAGGAACACAGGGTGATGATAGTTTTTTTATAGCTATAAATATCTTTTAAAATGTGTTCTTACTAGTTGTACATGACAGTAGAATGTATTTTGACATTTTATACATATAGGGAGTATAACTTCCCATTCTTCTAGTTGTACATGATGTGGAATTACATTGATTGATGATGGTTTTTTATAAGGCAAAGAAAGGGCCCTTGGAAGAAACCAACCCTGCTGATTCCTTGATCTTAAAACTTTTGGCTGCCAGAACTGTGAGACAATAAATTTTTGTTGTCTATACCACCCAGTCTGTGGTACTTTGTTATAGCAGCCCTTGAATACAGTGGGTGTATCATTTATTGGTTATTAAAACAATAAACCCTCAAATTCTAAAGCTCTCATAGATTTTTAAAGATCTAATAAATGGATAAAAAAACTCTTTGGACTATAGCTTCTTCTTCTTTTTTTTTTTTTTTTTTTCTTATGTGGTGCTAGGGATTGAACCCAGGGCCTTGTGCATGCAAGGCAAGCACTCTATCAACTGAATTCTATCCCCAGTCCAAGACTACAGCCTTTTGATAAATTCAAACAAATCTAAAGTAAGCAGAGATCTCCATTCTCATTCACAAGACTTCTCTGTGGGATAGGAATCCATTTCACAGAGATGGCCTTAACATTTTACAAGCCTCATTTTCAAACACAGAGGCAAAAGGCTCAGAAAGGAATTGTTTGCTAACAATCGAGAAGTCATTCCTCCAAGTGAACACGATCTTCTACTCTCTATATGATCTATATAATCAGTCTTAGTGGAGCAGGAGGTGGCATAGGCCAGCCTGGAGGAAGGAGTGAAAGGGAAGAGGGACACTGGCCTGCATGCTGAAGCTTTTGGAACCATGTGTGTTAGGTCCAGAGAGCTCCTACTGGAGTCAGTATTGTTATTACCCAGTGGAGTGAACATTCCTGCCATGGTCTCTTCCACAAGGAGCAAACTGCTTCTCTAGATGGCACAGAGATCAAAACTAGCTTGCAAAGGAAGGAGGAATTCCTGGCTTGTCTCTAAGGACAGCTATGTGGATTAACTAGATACAAGGCCTCCACTGGCTGGTGACATTCTGTCTTAGTTTGGGCTGCTATAACACAATATCTTAGACTGATTAATTTATAAACAACAGAAATTTATTGCTCACAGTTCTAGAGGCTGGGAAGTCCAAGATCAAGAGGCCAGTAGATTCGGGGGTTGGAGAGGACCCATTCCTCATGATGGTGACTCCTCACTGTGTCTTCACATGGAAGAAGGAGCAAACAGACCCCCCCCCTCAAGCTTCTTTATAAGGCTCTAATCCCTTCCCAAAGGCTCCACAACCCCTAATACCCACACTTGGAGAATTAGGTTTCAACATATGAGTTGGGTGGGGGAGATACAAAGTTTCAGACCATAGCACTGACCTAGTCCACATTTAAATTTCCAGAAATGGTCCAACATGATGCAAATGGTATAATAGTACTGATTCTTGAATTCACAGGACACTCTTTATTTACAGACTAGAACTCTAGGCCAACTTCCCTACTAGGTGCTTCTTTTATAGGTATAGTGAGTGGCAAAGTCAGATATCTCGGGATCCCTCAGAATTGGAATGGTTCACTCTTATCCAGAGGTAGGCATGAGAGTGCCTTGGTGGGAACAGAGAAGGTGGAATAGAATCTCAGAGTGCTAGAGGTAAGAGAACTTCATAGAACTTTCAATCCAACCTCCTTATTTTAAAAGGGAAGTGGAAAAATATAGTTCACTTCATTGTTCCTCCACCCCAATTTGTGAGGCAGGTCTATCAGAGGAAAACTAGTAGCCACCTAGTAACCTAAGCACAGGAAGGGTCAGAGTATGACTTTCCAAAGTTGCTCCTGGCTACTGTGAAGTATGAATACAAGAAGGTAACTTGGACACCTCATAAGATGGTGAGAAACATAGACTGCCAAAGCCAGGGAGCAGATGAAGACAACCTGGAAGAGATTTCAGAGGTTCCCAGCAGGAGTGACAACTGAGATGAGCCTAGGGGGTGGGGGAGCATCATCAGACTTTGCATAATCAGAGAGACACCAAAAACTTAAGCTGTAAGCAGTTTGTGATCAGAGGAAGGCAGGAAAGTACTAGGAGGCATGGGAACCCCTTTACTTGGCTGCTCTGAGGTCCTAAACCACCCCAGAGAGAATGGTGAGGCGAAACCTGAGAGAGACAGTTACCTGTAGGCAGTTTCAATTATTGCATCAGACTAAACTCCTGGATTGAATGGAATCTACTTATCTTCCTCTTCTACCCTTTTCAGGTGGGATAAATCAAGGTCATCAGAATTAACTTTAGATAAGATAAAAAACTATACCCCACCAGAAAACAAAAACAAAACCAGAAACAAACAAACAAAAAACCCCACACATACACCTCTGAATGTGATATGAATAAACTTGTAGGCCTGTGAGAATTTTATGTGTGATTTTAATTTTCTCTTTTGTAATTTCTTCCAATACTTGAGGCTTGGTTTCTTTTTTTTTTTTTTGGTGGGGGTGGGTGGTAGGGAAGGCACTGGGGATTGAACCCAAGCATGCTTCACCACTGAGCTATATCTCCAGTCCTTTTTATTTATTATTTTGAAACAGGGAGAGTGTTATTAAGTTGCTGAGGCTGTCCTTGAACTTGCAATTCTCCTGCCTCAGCTTCTTGGATCCCTGGGGTTTATAACAGGCATGTGCCGAAGCATCCAGTTCTTGAGCCCCCCCCCCCCCCACACACACACAGAAGAGATATCAGTTGTGATTGACAGCTCATTTGCCCATGCTACCTTTTCCTCTCTTCTTTGGAGGATAGTAATTTATTTGTTATATAAGGACAATAAAGAAAAAAATCAACCCATAAGGCTCTCCTTTTCTTCTATCTAAAGAAGTGATTATGATAAAGGTCACCGGGGAAACCCAAAAGTTGAACTACAGTATTTCTGCTAAATTTGCTCAGAAACAGAATGTCAAATATGTGTTCCAAGCATATTGGAGAAGAAAGAACAAGATCGTGTTTAGATGTGCTGAATAATTCAAACTACCTTTTCATACCAGTTGGTTTGGGCTGAGGTGATAATTTCCTCATTAATGCTTAAATTTGTATGTATCATTTCAGGGATAGTTTTAAAACTGAATAATTTTGATTCATTTTTATTTAAGGTATCATAACAATTATTAACAAGGGTGAGTTCACATATAAGATACCTAAAAAACTGTTTTTAGCATCTTTTGCTTCAAAACAGGAAAATGGCTTTTCTAGTTGCGAAACAAGTCAAATTTGGAAAAGGCATGAATTTGTATGAACATCCTGTATGCACAGTGATGTCATAACTGTAGTTCTAGAAATAGCCTCATCTCTCTTTGCTTGCTTTCTTATCTCTGATCATTGCATCCAATTATGTTTATCTAATAGTCATTTTCTATAAGGCTACACCCCTTTTTAAAAGTCACTATTGGTATATCTTGAAGGTGTCTGGAATCTACAAGTGAGCAAGTCTTATTCTATAGCTGGCTCTTGGTTATCTCTAGGAATTATAAATGAAAGGTGTGGAGTGGGGTGAAAATAAATCTGAGGGCAATGATCAAATTTCACAAATAATTTGAACTGTCCCTAGAACCTGATGATAATTCTCTTCTCTCTCTCCTCCCATCTCCTGCTTCCAGCTGATGCATACAGAAATGCATTTCTTAATTCAGAGAGGAGGAGAAGACAAAAAGAAGCAGGCTCGTCATTAGCCCTGGAGGGGTGATAATGTGAATTATCCTTCCAAGTCTGGAGGAAGATTTTCCCTTAAGGAACTCAAGGAGGGTGGGGGGGGGGGGGCTAACTTACAACTCCAAGAGAGCTGCAGGAAAGGGCTAAGAACTTCAGCCACTCGATCTCCTCCGTGAAGCGACCCACGTTCATCACACTATTAAACAGATCTGTTGGCAGATTCAACACCTTCCACATCTGAGCCAGTTCATTGGCATGGATGATCAGCCTGCCACCAACCTGCAGGGCAGGGGACAGACAAAATATAAAGAATGAGGGGAAAGGTAGGAGATGCCCTGATTGGCAGGTCAGTCCCCAAGTTCTGCCAGCATATGTAAAGGGGTGGGGTTGAGGGTAGGTATTAATTAGGGAGGTCAGAGGACCCTCTTTGGCAGTTCTTCCTGCAAGGCCTACTGAAGAGCATGCTGAGATATCATTTAATATGCATATATATTTTGTAATTTCAGATGTCAGAATTATATTAGAGATAGACATAGGGTCTCTTGCTTCCAAGTCTCCACTGAATTCTTTGCACTGGATCTCATTTACCTCCCATTTCCCCAGGAATGACGTGGGGAACATGGCTGATGTGTAGGGGTTGAGACTGGATGCCTAATGTTGTTTGATCTCACTCTAGAGCTCCGTCAGGCTCAATGCACAAGGAACTTGGAAGTTAAAAGGACAGGAGTGAATGACTGACTGAACAAGGTGACGAGGGCACAGCTGCCCCAGTGAAGCCCCAACCCCTTTCCTAGCCCTCTGATTCTAATAAAACACTAAATCTCTGGAACTGAGGTCGTTGGCTAAGTCAGTCCTGAATTGCCTCAGATCTCTCTGTCCAAGATCTTAGGGCAAGGAATGGTGGTGCTAATCCATATTTTTTTGAGAATTGGCCAAACCACAAACTTTCTCAAGCCAGTTTCTCCTCATTCATTTATCAGGCAACTTCTAGGATGACAGGGCTGGGGAGAATGTCAGGGTGTTCCCTAAAAACTAGGCTATGTTTGCACTGGGGAACTACAATAAGCTCCTCCCCAAAGTGGGATGGCCGCATGTCATGGCCTTGTTGATCCATCTGGGAGACACTTTCAAGCAACTGCAGACCCATATTTTTCAGGAGAGAAGGATTAGCACTGCACTGAGTCCCTGGGCATTGTGTCAGCTTAAGGGGATCTGTGATGGCCCCATGACAAGCTAGCCCTTGGCCTATTCAATTTACCCAAGGGGACATTTACCTTCAGGGCAAGATTTAGTGAACTTTAGGGTCCTGCTAAGTGAACAGCTGACTGGCAGAGGAACAGATGGCCTCTGTTTGTACCTATGGAGCAGCAACCTTTCCCTGCATGCCTCTTACCCGAGAATGCAGGATCTTTAACAGCTCAGGTGTGAGCTCCGCCCAGTTGGACAAAGCAACTCGCTCAGACCGCTCTCTCACTGGAGGGATCTCTCCACGGGACATAGACCCAAAATAACTGTAAGACAAAAATTAACAGGGATAGGAAGGGCAGCAGAATAGAATAGACATTATGATTGATGTATGTACATTCCATGTATGTATTATATGTCAAAATACATTCTGCTGTCATGTATGACTAAAAAACATAATTAAATAAAAATAAAAATTAAAAAAAAAAAAATTAGCAGGGTGGAGGAGTCCCATGGTCCAGGAGGCTGCTTCAGGAATTTCCTTTTCCTCTCCTCAACTCATTTTTAAGGGAAGGGGGTAGAGGAAAGAACATTTTGAAAGCATTTAGACACTGTGCTTAGTTCATTTGCATATGAGAAAAGCCTGATTGTGTTACTTTCCACTTAAGAAATGGAGCATGCTTAGGGTATAAAATTTTGTTTCTAAGGTTGAAGAATATTCAAACCAACTAAAGTGTGTTGTGCAATTATGTTGGGGCATATTCGGTCAAGTTTTGTTTTGTTTTTCCCCAAGTCATCCCTCCTAGTGTTTCATATACACAGAGGGTCATATATCCTAGGATACATACGTATAGGATATATATATGCATGTGTACATCTGTGTTGTATCAGGCAGTGGGTGGGGAAGAGAATTTGGAAGAGAACAAAAGTGATTTGCCTGAGAAAGGGGAGGGAATAGAATGGCTCCCAGGGTGAGTGAGGAAGGGTTTCTGGCTGGGGAGAGGCCTGAGGCTTCACCAAGGAAGACAGAGAAGACTGGCAGGGTACTAAGGGAGGCTCAGGAGAGAAGACAAGCCAAAGAAGGTTTCAAGCTTAATATGATACGCATGAGGCAAAACGCTTCTCTTTGTTTCCTCAACAATTTCAGTAAAATTGCCTGGTCACCACTGCTTTGTGAATGAAGTGGACTTTGGGGGACAATGTGGAAAATAGACTAAGTTCTATTTCAGTATTGGCATGGATGGAAAGAGGCTGTCTGCAGCAGGGAATGGGTATGAGCAGGTGACATGGTGGTTGATGCTATATAGCAGGGTGTGTCTCCATCAAAAGTCTTGTTACTGTCTATGCCTGAATCAATAACTTCTGGCCTTTATTTTCTCCAGATAGCATGAAAAGAACAGAGTAGAAATTTCATAGCAGCCCATTTTAGGGTGAAACCATACAATAGAGTTAACCATTGCCTGTCTTTTAAGACACAGAGCATTCAAAGCTAAAACCACATGGCCTAAAACAGCACCCTCCAAGTTCTCTCTTGGAGGATGTCAACAGGAAGGGTAGAAGAAATGCTTCAAGGGCACTTCTAAACAATGTGCATGAGAACTCTCTACAGACAGGTCAGTATTGCAATGGGTATGGGTGCAGCATGACAACTGAAGTTGGGTATAACCTCAGGCTCTGTAACCAGACTTGGGTGATATAAACCGAGGGTAATGACACCATGGCACCTCATTGTACAGAAGTTACTACCCAGGTGGAGAGTGACATTCATTATTCTCAGCATTCTTCAAACATCTTTAGACTTTTTAGTGGAGCTGAATAGATAGAGAACATGGAAATGAAGCTATAGTCATGGATTTAGCCCTCTGGGTTATTAAGCTTCATTTGAAAGTAATCAATTCTATGGTTATAAACAGTAAATTTGTATTGTCACACATGCCTACTACAGGAGAAATAATTGTATGTTCTGCTGAAATGCCTGGTAGGTAGTTTTCTCATTGACAGCAAATATGTAGGGAAATTCTTGCTTGCAATGAATTAAATACATATCTTGGAAATATTGTGTGGAGTTTTATCCTTTAAAAGGGTACAAGTTTGTAATCACATGAAACAATCTGATAAGGGCTGTTCATGTCTAAATAGGATGAAGAGTGCTTTTAGGTCATGCTCTTTTTCACTGTAGTTAAAGTACAAACTGATTTTTCACGGATGTCTAAAAAATTTATAGCATATCATATAATACAGGTGCTACCAGTCTACAATAGGGGAATGTTTTCTTCCATAAATGTCAGAGGCAATATTAAGAAATGTCATTTTTCTAACTATACTAGAGTAGCAAAAGAATAATAAAATGGAGGGTTAAACTATTGTATAGTATAAAACAGAATCTGTCTGACTATGCTGAAAAAAAATCAGTCTTCTGATGCTAAAGTCCAATCTTAGAGGTAATAGATCAAATTTAGAATTGAAAACTAAACAGGATTCATTACTAGGTGAAGCAACTCTATTTATGTCTCTTTTTATGGCATAACTGGCTCACTCTCCCCTCCATTTCTAAAAGCTTCCTCCTAGTCCAGCCCAAGAGTGCAGAACACTGGCTCAGAAACTCTGTAAGACCCTCTTGGAAGACATTTTATACCATCTGAAAGGTGTTCACAGCTCTCCTCCCCTTCTGCTCAGAACACCTACTCACCCTCAGGCTGAGAACATTCTTCCTTCCCCCAACTACAGGGCTCCTCCGCAGTCTCCCTTCATCCTCCTTTCCCACTGAATTACTATTAAGGAAGTAATCATCATAGTAAAAATAGTCAGATCCAGGAGGTCTGGTTAGTTTCCAACTCCTGCCCCAAGCCCTGGTTACCCAGTTTCCAACAGGAGTGTTTGTCTAAGAAGCAATTTCATAGCTGAGAGGGTTTCTGCATAAAGCTGCTTCAGCGCAAGCCAGCAGCTATTGTGCAAGCTCCATTGACTGAGCAGGCTCTGGGGGCTCTTGGAAAAGGGGCACCTGTGCACACCGCTCACAACCAAGCCTGACCTCGTCACTCTCATCTGTTGCCTTCTCCAAAATGCCTCGTGACTGTGTGGACACCTTTATGCTGAGAGAACAGATTCGTTCAAAGAAACCTTAAAGAAAACAGTAATTTCCCCAAAGGTAAGATACAAAGTATCTCTAGTCCGGCGCAAGTCGTGGAGAAATGTGTCTCATTACAGGAAAGGCCCAGTTTGGAAAGATCCACCCGCTCCACCCCGCGGGCCAGCTCCTGCCTCCCCCAGGTGCCCTGCCATCTAGCGGCGAGACAGGAGAACGAGGTCCAGGTTTCATCCAGGCTAACCCGCCTGGGAAATTCCGTGCTTCCCTTTTCACTGGGACAGAGGGACGCGATGCAGGCAGGGGCGGGCGTGTGCTGGTGTGATGTAGAAGTCTAACTCTTGCTGTTCACACTAGGACACTTGACCTATAGCCTTGGCGTCCAGCTGCTCAGTCTAGCTGTCTTAGCGGAGGGTATCTCTCCCCATTCGATGTATTTATATGTGGATTTTAAAACATCAAAAGCAACGAGAAAACTGAAAATCTGGCATAATTAGCCAGAGATTATGCTAATCAGTCCGGACTCTCTGGCTGCAGCCATGACAACCTCAATTTTTCATGACCCTTTCTCCTCCTTTCTCTCTCCGAGGAGACTGGAGGTGAGAAAGGAACACGTACTCGGCAGCCCATTGGATGAGATCCTGGGGCTGGGTCAGGATGGCGGCTTTGGTAAACTGCTTCAGCAATTCCGGCAGCTCGGGCGGGATGCATATTTGCTTATCAGTCTGAGGCATTGATTGCTTGACCTGTGCACAGGAGAGAAAATAAAATGGGACTCTTTGAATCATAAGATGACAGCAGTCCTGAACTAGAGGTCACCCAGCCTCTGTTTGTCAGTCTCAGTATTGGGGATTCTGCTACCCCACAACACAGATGCATTCTAGAAAGTGGTTTACTAATCCTTGGTTTTTGTTGTAAATAATTATGTCCTTCATATAAAACATCACACTTTAAAAAGTGGACATAACAGAAGTAAACATAAATATTCCCTAATAATGTCACCCCCAAATATTGGATATCTTCTTCCCAATTTTGTTTCAATCTAACTGTATATGTGTTTGTATAAATGAAAACTGGGGTTGCACAAACCCTATTTATTCAAAAGCATGTTATGAGGATCTTTCCAAGTTGCTTCAATTCTTACTAGCCGGATAAAAGTTGTAGCAAAATTTACACTCTGAATCCTCTGATTTGACATTAGGCCTTTCTAAATAAAAATAATTATTAAGCAGCTATTGGACTATCTAATCTTTTTTTTTTGTTTTTAGTTGCAGATGGACACAATATTTTATATATTCATTTTTATGTGGTTCTGAGGACTGAACCCAGGGCCTCACACGTGCTAGGTGAGTACCCTTATCTCTGAGCCGACCCCAGCCTTCTTATCTAATCTTAAGAAAGAAACAAACATTTTCACATGAAAAATTCAAATTGAAACAAAGACAAATTGAAACAAAAAAATTTAAAGTTTATAGATGGTATATAATTCTATGCACATATGAATATAATATTATGATTCCATTTTTAATACAGAAAGGGACAAGCTAAAAATACCAAAAGCCCTACCCACCACCCTTACACCTAGATTGCCAGACAAATCTCAGTAAACATACTTTTCCAATTGTCTTGCTGAATTTGCCATAGAATGAGAGAAATCTTCAAGCACCAAATAAAGTGAAGCAGAATGTAGAATAGTGACTTACTAAGAAATGAGGGCTCACCTGAGGGCAAATGTAGAGAGCAAAAATTTGAAACTTTGAGATGCAGGGAGGAGAGAGACCAGGCCTGGCCCACAAAGAGCAAATGACTGAACTAAAGCATTTTCCTTCTGGTCTAAGTTTGAGACCTTCAATGTGGAAAGGAAGGCTGGAAACATTGGTCTATAGGTAGGGGTAATCAATGAAGAACTGTCTCCTATGCTGGCTGCTTCCTGTTGGGGGAAAATAGCCTCCAAGAGTTTGTAGCTACCGACTAGATCTAGGTTTAGATTTATACCAGCAGCAGCCTAGTTGGGAAATCCCTAGATGAGAAATTAAAGCAGTCTGAGGTTGGTGGTATTTTATTCCCTTTTACTTAATGTTCTTTTATTTGGAAGTAGAGGAGGGTAAATATAATGATTAATTTTAGGCTTCATAAAAAGCCAAGTATGTATAAATTTTACTGTGCATATGTGGCCTTGTACATAGTATTAAAAAGTAATACTACAGGGCTGGGTTTGTGGCTCAGTGGTAAAGCACTTGCCTAGCATGTGTGAGGCACTGGGTTCAATCCCCTGCACTACATAAAAATAAACAAATAAAGGTATTGTGTCTATCTACAACTAAAAAAATTAAGAAATAATATTACAAAAGTTATATTATAAATTAATATAATCACCAAGATATGCCCCCCCCCCCAAAAGGAGATGGGGGAGTGTAGGCAAAGTGGACAAATAACATGTTAGAAAGTCCTCCCTACATGTCAGTAATCAATCAAAATAAATGGTCCTAAATGTATTAAAGTATAGAAATTATCAGACTGGATTATTAAAAATCCAGGTACTGTCACATCTGAAAAAAACCCAGAAAGACTGAAGGTAAAAATGATATAAACATGCAAATAACCCAAAGAAGTTGACATTGACAAACTGATACCAGACAAAAGATATTTTTTAAAAAGATGTAAAATTCACCGTTGGAAATCAAGAAATTCACTACATGATGATAAAAGCTTCAACTATTGAGAAGTTAGCACAATTCTCAATAAGTATGCTCCAGCCTTCACCAGGGAGGAGTCTCCAGCCTCCCCCAGGTGCCCTGCCATCTAGCAGTGAGACGGGAGAGCAAGGTACAAATATTGTTTGGGATCTCTCTCTCTCTCTCTCTCTCACACACACACACACACACACACACACACACACACACACACACACCACCTTTACTATTAAAGAGTGAATGATGATAAATACACATCTAGAATTGGCAATTACCCCTAGCGGAAGTGATGTCATCTCAATAGTGACATTGTAACTTCTAAGTTGGATGGTAAACTGCTTAGATGTTTGTTTCAAAAATTTTAAACTATATTTACATTATGCATTTTGTTTTTGTATATACAAAATAAAATTTTAAAATCTACTATTTACAAGTTGTGCCTCGTGACTTTTCAATCCATTTATTCTAGAAAAGGGCAGGGCCTTAGTTTGTTTATATTATGTATGTGTGTGTATACATACACACATATAATATACACAATATATATTCTTTTATTGTGGTAAAACATATAGCATAAAATCGACCATTTTAGCCACTCTAAGCAGCTAGTTGAATAGTATTAGGTACATACACATGCAGCCATCACCATCATACTGCAGGGTGTTTTCATGATCCCATCTGAAACTTCGTACCCATTGAAAAATAACTCCCTATTCTTCCTTCTCCCTGCTCCTGGCAACCACCATTCCACCTTCTGTCTCTATGAATATTATGTTGTAGCATGTTTGAGGGTTCTCTTTTTTTTAAAGGTTGAATAATATTTCATTATATGTACCATTTTTTGTTTATCTGGTCACCTATCAGTGGACATTGGGTTATTGCGACCTTTGGGCTATTGTAATAATGTTGCTATGAGCACAGGTGTACAGATATCCTTTTGACTTCTGCATTCAATTGTTTGGTATAGACCCAGAAGTGGAATTACTGGATCATGTGGTAATTGTATTTGAATTTTTTGAAGAACTGCCATACTGTTTTCCACAGTGACTGCACCATTTTACTGTTCCCTTGTATTTTGACAGGATCATTTATTTGTTGTGCAATTATTTAATTTTTATTCTGAAGGTTGCCAAAACCTCATGTAAATGAAAAGACGGCCCAAACCTAATTAGAAAAGCTTCCATGACAAGAATAGCAATGATAACCCTTGGTCAATATGGAGCAAAATCAAGCAAAGCCTTATTTCAGCCTGTTGCCTTTTCTGACAACTTTTCTGTGACCTCTAAACATTTGGGCAAAGACTCTCTAGTAAGTTCTTTATACCTATTTCTCAGTCCTTCTTTAACCCTTTGCATTTTCTCCTCTTAAAAGTCATCAGTTTCCTCCATTTCTAAGCACAAGATATCATGCTAAGTATACTGTATATGCTTTCTCTTTTAATCATATATATATATGTGTGTGTGTGTGTGTGTGTGTGTGTGTGTGTATATATATATATATATATAGTCACCATTTTACTGATGATGAAACTAAGAAAAGGAGTAAAACTTTTGCAATGACACATAACTAAGAAGTGACAGAAGGAGGGTTTGAACACCCACACAGCCTGATGGGGGAGGTGGACTGTTAGACAAACGTTTTTTGCTTCTTGAGTTTTCTCCTACTTTGATGACATATACCACCCATTCTGCAGTGTTTCTCTGCCTCCTTCAGTAATTCTTTCTCTTTTCTTCTGCTAAGCAAGAATTAGTAAACTTCCCCAAACAGTTTTCAGCATCTGAGCTTATGTTGCTTTCCTGGAGAGCTTACATCACATCCTCCTCAGGCTTCATCTGCCACATGACTATGTTGATTATCCTCCTTTATCCATCAAATCTCTCACCTGTGCTTCTATTCCACAATTCCCATTGCCTCCAGGACACTTGGCCACTAGAATCCTTGGTTCATCTCCCAACTAAGTCTCCTTCCCACATTATTATTCTTAGTTTTTTCTTTTTTGCTGTGCTGGGGATTGAAAACTCAGGGCCTCTCACATGCCAGGTAAATGTTGTACCACTGAGTTACATCCCCAGGCCCCCAAATTCTTTTCTGAACAAGATACCATCATTCTTTCTGTTCTTTGGCCTCAAAGCCTTGGACACATCTTTTTTCCTCAATCTGCTGAATATCTTAATCATATTGATCTTTTCTTTGAAAAGTGTCTCTAATTTATCCTTATTTCCACTTCTATTTTTCTGGTTTATCGCCTCATCAGGAAGTAGATTCCTGACTGGTATCCTTCTCTCACCTCATTTTCTCGTCTGGCCTGTCCAGGATGGCTAGATCTATCTTTAAGAGATGAGAGAGCTCCACTCACAAAACAGCATTCAGATCTGATTTTCAGGGTTCTTCATGATTTACTCATCTCATTCTAAGCTACAAATTTTCTATTTACCAACACACAAATTTACAACACAGTCTACTCTGGCCACTTTCCAGGAAATTAAACATCAGATGTTTAACACTTTTCTCACCCACTGTTAATAGTACTCTATCCTGTTTTGGTTTCTCACTCAGCAAGTTGTTACTACTTGAAGTGCCCTATTTTCTTTCATCTATTCAAACCTTATGTCCCCCAGATTTCATCTTGAGTCCATACTATTCTTTCCTAAAAAACTTGGGTAGCATCTACTATTGTTTGTAGTACACATTTTCCCATTAAATCCTATTCTGCCTTTTATTGCTTTCTAAAGCGAAGCTCCCTAGCAGTGGCCAGGAGAGAATGAGTTACAGGTGTACCATGAGAGATTGATGGTTGTAAAGTTTTTATACTGATATGAAATTTACAACCATTCACAAATTTACAACGGTTCACATTATATTTGGATGCTGTCTGGCACAGTCAGTAAACTTCCAGATTTCAGTGCTTATTGTTTTGTGCTTAAGGGTTTATACATAACACCTGCCACCAGAGACTCGAGTGGAGGGATTTCCCTTTCATCCAGCCCATTAAACCATCCATGTCTGACTCTTGCTTTAATTGCAATGTATTTATAATCAGTGATAATCTTTGT